TGCAAGTCAAGGGATACAAGGCTGAAACTCCATCTTCTGGAGCAATCTAAGAGAGTGGCATCTGATCCAGAAAAGCCAAGCTTGAAGACCCCTTTGATGGCCAAACCCACATCTTTCAGCACTCCATCTAGCAGGCAGGCAACTCTGAAGACCTCTGCAGAAAAAGAGGCACCGAAAGCTGACCTGACGCCGGCATCAGCATTGGCACTAGTACCAACCCTGGCACTGAAGTCATCAATGGCCCCCTCCATGATGATGACACTGGTCACAGATTTGTCAGGGACAAGGTGGGGGGCCCACTTACACCACCTGCAAATGCTAGGCTTGTGGTCCCAGGATGATCTCAAGCGCCACACAAACGTTTTTGAACCGAGAGCCATCAGACTGGCTTGGATAGCATTCCCACCAGTCCTCCAAAATGCCACAGTGTAGGTCCTGATGGACAACACTTCGGCAATTACTATATAAACAAGCAGAGAGGCACTTGATCATCTCCACTGTGCCGGGAGGTGATGGAGTTCTGGGAGTGGTGTCATCAGCATGGAAATGGACTGCATGGAAGTGGCCCATTAACTTCACTTTACCTGGAATGGTCCCTTGAAATATGTGTTAACTACTTATGATAAACAATGTGTTCCACCATATATATAGCTGTGACACTCTGTGTACAGAATCCAAGACCTGAAGAATAGCTCAGTGTAAGTTCAAAAGCTTGTCTCTCTCATCAACGGAAGTTGGTCCAATAAAAGATATTATCTCATCCACTATGTCTCTAATATCTGGGGACTGACATGACTACAGCTACACTGCAAGTGCAAGAGATTTATTATTGCTCTGTATTTATATCCTGTAGATCAGCAAAGGAGATCTTAGAATCCAGCCTGTTCGAGGCTCAGCAGCAGGTGTCTCAGCTGGAGGTCACTAGGGGTCAGTTGGAAATCAACGTTCAAACAGTCACCCAGGCCAAAGAGGTGATACAAGGTAAGAGGCTGAGAAGCACAGCCCACCGGAGATGCCCCTTCCGTGGATGGGGCAGAGGGGCCTCTGGGAAATGAGAGATGGACATGGCCCTTTCCCTGTCTGGGACAGAGAAGGCTCTGGCATGGTGCAGCTGAGCCCTTAATAGCTCAAGGAAGTGAGAGGGGTTCAAACTCTTGCCATGTCTCCTCTTCTGCAGGAGAAGTGAAGTGCCTTCGTTGTGAGCTGGAAACAGAGAGGTCCACAATGGAGCGGGAGCGGGAGGATATGGCACAGCAGCTCTCACGGACAGAGCAGCAATATCAAGATACCCTTAGCCTTCGGCAAGCTGCGTATGAGGAGAAAATGAACAAGCTCCTGCAAGAGCTGGTAGGTGGTAGGATGGCCATTGTCAAAGGGCAAAGCCAGTGGGTTTGAATGGTTAAGACTAGGCAAGCCCCTGGGCCCATTTTAATGTTTTCATTAATGTTTATTGCTCTCCTCAGACACTGTACTGACCCTCCCTGTACAATGTTTGCTACTGCAGCCTTGTATGATTTACTAACAACACCTTGTATGCTGGATTCCATTCCACTGCAAGACAGCTAGGACGTTCCAAAGCTCTAAAGTTTTGTTTTGTCTCTTTGAGGTGCATGTGCTTCATATACAGACTTGCTGCCAATACATGGCTATGTTCATACAATTACTTTGTGATCATGACTGTGGTGGTGACAAAAAATAGAAGGCCACTAAGTACAGTAAGAATGAGAGTGTCAATGCCTATTAATTTCTAATAGGAATTGGGCATCCAGATCCCTCAGACAGTTTTGAAAATCCTTCGTTACATAATCCATTCTATAGAGGAAAAATAGAAGTATATCCTGTACAGCAGATATTTGCAGTGGACCATTTTTAAGCAATCCATAGACTATGATGTGTATGCACACAACGTTCATGAAACAATGGACAAATCTGGGAAAACTTTAACCTGTTTGCAGATGCTCTTCAAGCAGAAGAGGGTGATGTTTGTGGAATAAATGTTATGAATAAGTTGCTGTTTAATATGGGTCTGTCAGTCCACCAGTCTGCATGGCTGCGTGTACAGCTGGGTATGATGATGGTGTTTCTAAAGTTTGGTCTGCAGACCGGTGCTGGTCCATATAGCTTCTCCAAGTGGATCCTGGGGCTGCTTGCATCATAGAGGCAATCAAGTGAAACAAGACAGTCTCTCAGTATGTGTTGCTCTTCAAGTAGAGCTCCCTCTCATGCCTTTGCTTGTTTGGGCTGTTGCCCTGGAGGTGAAGTTTATCATCAAGCCTTATTCTTCGTTGGGTGTTCAAGGGGAATATAATTGTGAACAATTTGCAGACAATACCACAGTGGAGGGGGAAGAAACACAATGGTGTCAAAGCCGAGCTTCAATGGGACCTGAAGAGATTAGATTGGGGGCAACAGGAAACAAAGTCATGAAGTTCTGACAAAGTGCTGAACTGCTGATTTAACCCGGGCTCTTACTCACATGTTGTCCCTAATCCACCTCCCAGCTAAAAACTCAGACCTCTCACCCAAGCTTGATAGTGCTTTCCACCTGGTCTAGCTGATCCATCCTGGGTTGTAGGCTTAAGCCCAGGTGTCACTTTGACCCAGGTTGGTAACATACCTACTTTGCAGTGAGGACACAGGCTAAACCTCTCAAGTGCAGATAGTCCTCCAGCGCCTTCCCACAATTCTCCCGGTGTGCCCGGGATTGTCAGATTTTCCCACAATTCACTGGGAAAGAATTAGAGCAGCTCAGCTTGGTGCAGCACAGAGAACCATAGGATGTACCGCCAGAAGTCTTAGCATCTCACATGGGTGAATCCATCCACTGTAGACACAGCAACTGTCATATGGCTCTGCAGTGTGACTGCTCACACCTGAATTAGGCCAACCCGGGTACTGATCCCCCGAGTTAACTCTGCAGTACAGACCTGCTCAGAGAAAGGAAATAACTAGGGCCCTATCAAATTCACAGTCCATTTTTGCCAATTTCATGGTTATAGGATTTTAAAAATCATAAATTTCATGATTTCAGATATTTAAATCTGAAATTTCACAGTGTTGTAACTGTAGGGGTCCTGCCCCAAAAGGGGGTAGTAGGGACATTGCAAGGTTATTGTAGGGGGGTCATGGTATTGCCACCCTTACTTCTGCGCTGCTGCTGGCCACAGCACTGCCTTCAGAGTTGAGTGGCCGGAGAGCGGTATCTGCTGGCCGGGAGCCCAGCTCTGAAGACAGCGCCACTGCCAGCAGCAGCATAGAAATAAGGATGGTATGGTATTGTCACCCTTACTTCTGTGCTGCTGCCTTCAGAGCTAGGCCCTTGGCCAGCAGCCACCACTCTCCGACTGCCCGTTGCCACCCTTACTTCTGTGCTGCTGCTGACAGTGCTGCCTTCAGAGCTGGGCACCTGGCCAGCAGCCACTGCTTTCCAAACACCCAGCTCTGAAAGCAGCGCAGAAGTAAGGGTTGCAATACCACGATCCTGCTACAATAATCTTGTAACCCCCGCCCTGCAACCTCCTTTTGGGTCGGGACCCCCAGTTTGAGAAATGCTGGTCTCCCCTGTGAAATCTGTATAGCATAGGGTAGTAGTACACAAAAGACCAGATTTCACAGTGGAGACCAGATTTTCACGACCATGACGCGTTTTTCACGACCGTGAATTTGGTAGAAATAACCAACCCAGATGATGGGTTGGATGGGAGATGTAAGTAAAGCTGTATCTCAGTGCCTTGGAGGGAGTTTATCGTCTCACTTTAACCCTGTCCTAATGTGACTTGTCATGTGATCAAATCTGGTTGTTTATTTTTTGTATTGCAGTTTATTTATCCAGTGCTCGAGGAGCAACGCTGTGTGGGATCAGGACTGGGCAATGGAAGGAGAAATTGCTCAGTGTAGACACCCAGGCACAGTAGGGCAGGATGAACTAGACACATAAAACCCTTTACACAGCCCCTGCACCCACAAACAGATGGTGACTTTTCCCAGTGGCTCAGTTACCTGAAATTAGTCAGCAATTGGTGTATGTGAAGAGGGATTTCATGCATGCCGTTTGTGGCTACTGTTGCTTTATGGTTTGCTACTGGTAACATGCTGCGTACATGGCTAGTTGGGGATGCCTGATCAAGTCACTCCTCTGGTCGAGGCAGCATAGGGAGCACCTAGCTGGTGACAGTGGCTGGTGGTGATAGGCGTGAGTACCTTTCCTCCTCAACTCCTTGCTGGGGCCAGGCAGCAGTGGTTGAAAGTGGCTGCTGCAGGTGTGCAAAGGCTCCTTTCTCAGGCTCTTCCCTGCTGCTATTATGTGACCTGCCATGGGGCACCACATCCAACCCCAAGTTCAGGAGGGCCCTGGGACTGGCTCTGCAATCAACTATGTTCAGAAGGCCTGACAGCCAGGGGTTGAAATTCTGCCCAGGCTCACAGATAGATATGAAACAGCCACCTGAGGCGCTGGCACCTTGCAGCGGGTTGCCCAGGGGGTGTAATAATGCAGAAGTCAGGAGGAGCCTCAGAAGAGCTGCAGGAAGCTGTGCTCCTTTCCTGCTGGACTTTGGCTGAGGGAGCCATGGAGTAGCTCCACACTCTGGCCCAGCCTCAGTCATGGGGGCGGGTCTCCTCATTCTGTATGCAGTTTACGCTTATTATGCATTAATCAAAATGTTGAATTAAGCTCTGGGATCACAGAAAATAAGAGTAGAAGCAAATACTGGGGATGGTGATGCGGAAAATCCTACAGGAACAGAGGGAGAGAATCCTCACAGGAGGGAGGGGCAGCAGGTGGAGGGAGGCGGGGTGCAGTTTCCCCTCCAAGGTCACTAGGAGTCCCCTTGGAAAATAACTGCTTCTATCCCTACCCACAGCACTGCCTGTAATGTGTATTCTGTTGATGCTTCATGTTGGTGGAGGGAACTCTGACCTGGGCCTTTGGCTGGTGCCATATCAGCAAGCTGTGATACGAAGAGGTGGCCTAAGTCTGAAGCACCTAATGGCTCTTTTTCTGATTGTTAGAAGAGTGAGCAGGAATGGCACCGCGCAGAGCTGAAAGAGGTGTCGGAGCTCTCAGCCCAAGAGAAAGCAGAAGCAGAAGGTGCTTATGAGAAGAAGCTGTTGGAGCTGAAGCAGGAGGCTGCAACTATGCAATCTCAGAAAGAAGAGGAGCGAGCTAGGGCTGAAAATGCCAGGCAAGAGGTAAAAGGTTTGAGAGGGAAACTTGTGCATTTAAACAGCAGATATCTTTTGTCTCCTGACTGGTGAAGTTTCCCATAACACAGGTGTCTAGGCAGAAGTAAGAGGCTTCTTGAAGGTGATAAAATATCTTCTCTTTAGCATAGGAAATCAGGATCTACCAACCCAGATCAGGTGATTGCCCATGAAAGTCTGTGTCCTACTTCTGACAGTGATGGATAGTTGATACTGCAAAGGAAGATGAAATGCCCACAGCTGGGCAATTGTGTAATGCAGAGTAGGGAGTGGGGGAAATCTTTCCTGAACTGCCTAAGGCTCCATGTTTGTCAAGGAGGCCACAGAAGTCACAGATTCCATGACTTTCCGTGACTTCTGCAGCAGCCGGTGCGCCTGGCTGGGGGGCGGCCTGAGCAGCTCGGGCAGCCCCCGGGCCAGGTGCACTGGCTGCTGCTGGGGCAGTCTTGGCCCCTCCTAACCCCCAGCAATAGGAGTTTACCTGGGGCGGGGGCTTCCTGGAAGGGCAACTGCAACTCCCCTCCTTCAGCTCCTAGCTCCACCTGCTTCCTCCACCCATAGGCACCGCCTCTGCAGCTCCCATTGGCCGCAGTTCCCAGCCAATGGGAGTTGTAGAACCGGGGCTTGGGGCAGAGCAGAGGCAGCATGTGGAGCAAGGAGCTGGGGTCCCCGCTTCCTAGGAGCCAGGTAGGGAGCCTGCCCCAGCCCTACCAACCCTCCCACCCCCCACTCCCCAGCACCCATGGCGCCCCCCCGGGCTATTCCCCCCAGCATCCATGGTGCCCCCAGGGCCGCCCTCCCAAGCCTTCTCCCCTCCCCCCAAGTTTTAGTCAGGCGAATATAGTAAAAGTCATGGACATGTCACGGGCTGTGAATTTTTGTTTACTGCCTGTGACCTGTCCATGACTTTTACTAAAAATACCCATGACTAAAACATAGCCTTACTTATGCCCAAAGGAGCGAATATGAGAGCCTTTTCATTTATCTTTGCTACATGCATTAATAGTGCATGAGGGATTTGTACTTCACTCACCTTTATTCTGTTCTAGGATGGGGACTCCTGGCTTCTCGGAATGAGCTGTCTGCAGAAAAAGGTTCAGCTCAGGTGTCTGGGGGGGAGAAGTCAACAGAGCAATTTTCATATCTTCACTGTAGCAGGGAGCCTGATGTTAGATGAGCCATTGTAACATGAGGCAACTCCTTCACCAGGCTGAGCCCAATTCTCCTGTCATTGTAACAGGGTTTTTTTTCTCAGTTTATCTTCCAATTAAAGTCACTAAACTCTCGGTTAGGCCCTCTAAGCTATGTCCCAGTGCCAGCTAGGGTGACCAGATGACAAGAACAAAATATCGGGACACATGAGGGGGCAGGGCCAAAGCAAAAAAAATAAATAAAAAAGCCGGAGCGCCCCGAGCCAAAATATCGGGACAAATGGCGTCCCGACCATACATCCGTCGGGACACGGGACAAACAACTGAATATCGGGACAGTCCTGATTTTATCAGGACGTCTGGTCACCCTAGTGCCAGCATTACTGTCCCTGCTCCTTAACCTGCATCCGGAAAACTGCCTTTTGGCCCTAATGTAATGCTCCTGGCAGAGAATATCTCGCATGGAGCATAGGATAAAGGCAACCATCTTCCCAATGCCTGACAGGGGCTGCCGGTCCAAGAGTAGCAGGAGCCAGTTTGGAGGTAGAAGTTATGTTCTTCTTTGAGTGATTGCACATGCCAATTCCACTGTAGGGGTGTGCGTGCTTCGTGCACAGATGTAGGAGATATTCTTCCCTCAGTGGTACCCGTCGGGATGGCTTGAATACCCTCTGTTGCCACGTGCTGGTATAAGAGGGCAGAGCCACCCCCGACTCCCCTCAGGTCCTTCTTATCGTCAGTGATGGTTGTCGGAGAAATTCCAGACGTGTTGATTCAAGTGCTTCTCTCACTCGTCGTATATAATTATAATTAGTAGTTGTTAGTGCTGGATAGTTAGTTTATAGATAAATTAGTGATAGGTTTCTGGTTTTGCATCCTTTTTGGACCATTTTTTCTCTTTCAGTACTGGTACCAGTAGGATGCCTTGCTTGGAGTTTAAATCCTGCGGGACCTGCTCAAAACCCATCCCCGCCAGTGACCCCCATCCGACCTGTCTGAAATGTTTAGGAGAATCCCACAGTGGTGACAAATGCCACATTTGTTGTGGATTCAAGCCCTGCTCAAAAAAGGACAGAGCGCTGAGACTTAAGTGCTTGCTTATGGAAGCAGCACTTCGACCCTCCCACTGGAGTCATTGCATGGGGAGAGTGCCCTGAGTACTTAAGTGTCGGTTCGGCATACTCCACTGGACGTATCTCCGACTCCTTGACCCCGATCCCTGGTGCCAAAGAAGAGACTCAGACCTTCCTCGGGTTCCACATCTTCTTCTGTTGCATCAGTATCAAGGCGAGACAGAGGCAGGGACTCCATTAAGCATGTGGCAGAGAGAGCCACCTCAGAGGCATCACCTCCTAAGAAGGGTTCATTGCCTCCAGAGCCCGTGCCAAGTCCATCAAGTTTGTCCCCTGAGAGACATTTAAGGAGTCAACAAATGATACCTCTCCCATCCACTCCAGAGGCATATGCAGCCACAAGAGACTTGCTTAGCCTCTCGGTACCGGTTTCACCAGCATTGAAAACTGTCCAGCCAGTCCCTGTGCCTGCAGCTCATTCCTCGCCACACTGAGAACCCCCAATACTGCTGTCCAAACCTCTCAAGCTGGTCTTATCGAGAGGAAAACCTCCTATGATTTCCCCAGTACTGCCATCCCCAGGTTTGGGCTACCTCTCACTTAAGAACATAAGAACAGCCATACTGGGTCACGCAGTATTGAAGATGTTGGGAATTGGTCCTGCTTTGAGCAGGTGGTTGGACTAGATGACCTCTTGAGGTCCCTTCCAACCCTGATATTCTATGATTCTATGATTCTATGTTGGCATACCATGCATTTATATAGAGGCATTATATTTTCTGTCTTGTTATCTATTCTTTTCCTAATGGTTCCTAACATTCTGATTAACCTTCCTCCCCCATATAGTGGGGAAAATCTATTGATTCTGACAGACAACTTGGCGATCATGTTTTACATAAACAGACAAGAGAGGTCAAAACAACTCTGTCAGGAGGCAGTTCGCCTCTGGGACTTCTGTATAACCCACTCAGTTCATCTTGAAGCTGTTTACGTTCCGGAAAAACAAAACACATTGGCAGATCAGCTGAGCAGATCCTTCACCGATCAACACGAGTTGGTCATTATGCTCAGATGTGGCCAGGTCCATGTCCAAACTCTGGAGGATTCCCCAAGTGGATCTATTTGTGACAAGAACCAACAGAAAATGCAATCAATTCTGTTCCCGAGGGGATCTCAGCTCAGGCTCACTGACAGATGCTTTTCTCCTATCCCGGGAGAATACCCTTCTATACATCTTCCTTCAGATTTCTTTGCTTCGCAAAGTCGTGTTCAGAATAAAGCAGGACCATGCTCATCTCATCCTTATAGCACCTGCATGGCCCTGCCAACACTGGTACACGGCCCTACTAACCCTGTCGGCCGAGCCCCGTCTGTCCCTCCCCATTGGATCCAGACATAATTTCCTAAGACCACAGCCGCATACTGCACTCCAGCCTCCAAGCTCTCCATCTTACAGCATGGATGCTTCATGGCTGACGCCCTTTGAAAAGTCCTGCTTGAAGGCTATCCAGAATGTGTTTGTAAAATAGTAGAAATTTATTTATTTATTTAATTTAAAACCCCCATCTAGGATCACTTCCCTGGCTAAGTGGGAACTCTTCTCCATTTGGTCTCTTGGGGAAGATGTATCTCCACGGCGAGCACCCCTGGACCTTGTGCTGGACTATCTTCTAGATCTAAAACAGAATTTGATGATTAGCTCTAGAAGGGTGCATTTTGTACAGGTGGATAATAGATCCCTTTTCTCCAACCCCATTGTTACTCGATTTCTGAAGGGCTTGGCCAGATTATATCCTCAAGTACAAGACCCCATCCCTCCTTGGGATCTCAATTTAGTCCTGGAAATTCTGATGGGACCCTTTTGCAACTTGCTCTCTCCTCTACCTCTCCATGAAGTTGGCATTTCTAATAGCGATCACCTCAGCCAGAAGGATTGGTGAGTTGAGAGATCTGGGATTAGAACCCACCCCACATACAGTTTTTTATAACGATAAAGTTTATCTCCGGCGTCACCCAAAGTTTCTTACAAAAGTAGTCTCTAGTTTGCACATTAACCAAGCTATCTATTTGCCCACATTTTTCCAAAACCCTATCACCAGAAGCATTGGATGTTAGAAGGGCTGTAGCTTTCTATCTGGAGCACACTAGAGCATTCAGATCCTCTACACAACTTTTTGTGGCAGTTGCTGACAAAGTTCAGGGCAGTCCAGTGTCCTCTCAGAGAATTTCCTCCTGGACCTCTTCCTCCATCTGTTATGTTACCAACTGACTAACACAACCCCACTATCTAGAGGCGCATACTACTGGACAGCACACAAGCAGCTTCTGCAGCTTTCCTGGTTCAAGTACCCATTATTGACATTTGTAAAGCAGTGACTTTGTTATCAGTCTACACCTTCACTTCTCGTTACTCCATTTCCCGTCAGTCCAGAGATGATTCCTGTTTCAGATGGGTGGTCTTACAATCACTGTTCAGATAGACTGAATCCTCTCTGTAGCTGTTTGTTTGTGTCACCTACAGTGGAACTGACATGTGCAATCACTCAAAGAAGAAACAACTGTTACTTACCTTTCTGTAACTGTTGTTCTTCAAGATGTGTTGCACATGTCAGTTCCACAACCCACCTCCTTCCACTCTGTATCAGAGTCAGACCAGTATGAAGGAACTGAGGGGAGTCAGGGGCAGCTCTACACTCTTACACCAGCACACAGTAGCGCAAAGTGAGAGAGGGCACTCAAGCCACCCTGACAGGTACCACTGAGG